TCCTCCCCGGCGCCGCCCTGCGCCCATCTCGCTCCCCGGGGAGGGATCGCATTTGGCTTTCGCAGCCTGGAGATTGGCGAGGGCGCTTCCGGCTGCCCCGACCCGGCGATTCCCAAGTCGCGCTGTTGCCATGGCACCGGCACTTGTTGCGGGGGGTGGGGTGGGGGCTCCCACGGCCCGGGGCATCCCTCCCGCGTCCAGGGGGTCCCCGCGGCTGTCCAGCCTGGCCTCCCGGGGGAAGGGGTGGGGGTCGGGCCTCTGGCTCCAACGCCCGGAACCCCACCCCCGACCCGGGTACACCCCGCCCCCACCCCCCGGGGCAGCGCCTAACAGGACTTTCTCGGTCAGATTTCAGGTACTCGGACTCCACCTTTACCTTCACGTACGTCGGCGGCCCCAAAAGGTATGTAAGCGTCTCCAGTTGCTTCATTTCCTGTTCACATGCCTGCGTTTCCTTTGTTCTCACTGTTCCGTGTCTGGGATTTTTTCTTTCTTTCTTTTTTTGCTCTTGTTGTCCTCTAACCACATGCCAAGTCCGAGGTCCTGGCTCTAAATGGCAAAGGGGAAGTGGACGTGTGATGCCGGCGCTGGAAGCGCAGGCCGCAGCCGGAGCAGCACCCGCCGCCCGGCATGTTCCAGCGGCTCTGGCAGCGGCTGGCTCCCGGGGTGTCTGGGGGTTGATGCAGCCAACCGGGTGCAGCACTGGCATCCTGGGTGGGAAGTGAAGTGGGTCCGAGATCCGGATGGCACGCAGTAGTGGGGTCCCAGGTCATGGTTTTCCTGGCGAGCTGCTTGCTGCTCCAATGTTCCCGTGTTGACGACCGTGGACATCAGCACGCAGTCTGCCAGTTGTCCATACTGTGTGTGTGTGTGTGTGTGTGTGTGTGTGTGTGTGTGTGTGTGTGTCTGGGCTTTGAGGAGTGGTGCTCTGGTTTCCACACTTGGCTGGAGGAAAGCGTTTGGCAGGTGCATGCAGCTGGAGCGTATCATCACTTCTTCCTTGAGGGGGATGGATGGCACATGCATGTAGGAACCCTGAATTGTGCACAGTGCGAAAGCAGGCGAAATCCAACTTTGTATTTCGGAGGTGGAGTTAGCATGAGAGGTAGCCGTGGGGACGTGCCTGGCGGGCCTCACTTGTTAAGTTGGGATTTTCTCCCCGTAGCCCCTGGGGGACACGGTGGCCTCACAGAGCAGCAGCCACCCAGGGAAGCTGTCAGAGATGCCGCCTGGCTCTGAGGACTTGACATTCAGTAGCACCTGATCACGTTCCAAAATGTCTCTTAGCTGTTGGAAACGTCTGAACGCACTCATTGCAGAAGAGGCTTTCTTCTGTACATGGTGTTAGGTTAGGTGGCTCAGGAGGCGGCGTAGGAAATAAAGAGAGTCCAGTTAATCAGAAAAGAAAGAAAGGAAAGGCTTTATTCTGCGTCCACAGACCCCAAAGACAGGGCACGTGGATCTGCACCAACAGGGAGGGGGCCCTTTTTTTATACAGCTGTTCAGTGAGGGCGGGGGAGCATGAGCTGTGGGAGTTCCCGCCGCAGGGGTTGTCACGGTTTCCAGGTGTCGTCATCTGCCTGGTAGCTGACCTGTTAGGAATTCCAGGGCGGGACCGCTATCTGCGTCACCATTGACCTGGTGCACTGGCCTGTTACGGATTCTAGGAAGGGCCCAGTATCTAGGTCACCATCTGCCTGGCGGGGGCATGCATCAGCTCCTGGACCCCCTTTCGACCTCACACATGGAGCTTTTAAAAGCTTGGAATTAATGTGAATCTTGAAGATGCTTGGGATCTGGGCTGCAGTCTACATCTCAAGAAAGCTGTAGTGGAGACAGTGGTCCGGTCTCCCATATGTAGTTTGCCTAAGCCTCAGGATTGTGTTTTGTCTTTTCATTTTATTTTTTTGGTCTCCCCCCTCCCCCATTTTTAAATTGAATTTATTGAGGTGACATTGGTTAATGAAATCACAGATTTCAGGTGTACAGTTCTATAATACAACATCTGCATATTGTATTGTGTGCAGCATCCCAAGTGTTGATTTGATTTACTAGTTGAAAATATATAATATTGGGAGAGAATAAAATCATAGTGCTTCTTAATTTACCATCATCTTTGTAATTGTGAATAAAAAGAATAAATTAGAGAAGATTCAACTAAATTAACACTGCTCCTACACTTACTATCCAGAGATACGTTGGTGTATGACTAATATCTTCCTGGATATTTTTAAAGATATACTTTTATTGATTTCAGAGAGGAAGGGAGAGGGAAAGAGAAACATCAATGATGAGAGAATCATTGACCAGCTGCCTCCAGCATGCCCCCCGCACTGGGGATCTAGCCCAAATCCCGGACTTGTGCCCTTGACCGGAATCGAACCCGGGACCCCTCAGTCTGCAGGCCGACGCTCTCTCCACTGAGCCAAACCGGCTAGGGCTTCCTGGATTGTTTTAACAGTTAAAATACAGGCATACCTCTGAGATATTGTGGGTTTGGCTCCAAATCACCAAAAATAAAGCGAATATCGCAATAAAGCAAATAACATGAATATTTTGGTTTTCCAGTGCAGATAAAAGTTATGTTTACACTCTACTGTAGTCTGTTAAGTGTGCAATTGCATTATGTCTAAAAACACCATGTATCTACCTTAATTAAAAAGCTACTCTATGGATAAAAAATGTTAACCGACTGACATCTGAGCTGTCAGCGAGCCCTGAGGGTCTTCCCTTCAGTCTATGCCTAGTAAGACACAGTGTCTGTGAAGTGCAGTGGCCTGAGGATGTCTGTGTGCCCTGCACTGAAAACACCCCCTGCGAGCAGTCAGCACCTGCTCCAGCGGTCTGTTGGGTAAAGCCCCGGGTAAACTTTTCAACGCACTAGCTTTATTATTATTATTATTATTAATATTTTTTATTGTTGACAGTATTAGCTTTCTTATTTTCAATCAGATGCCTGTTTACTCATCTGTACAATGAGAGGAGATGTACTGTCCACTTGGTCTCTCTAAGACCTGGGAGTAGGTACCGCAGAAAGAGTCTTTATCAGCAAATTACAGAACCGGTGTTCAGGAAACGGGGAGACGGCTGGCTGGGTGAATAATTAACTACTGGAGATACCATCAGTTCTCACTTGTAGGAGCCGGGGCCATGGTTGCTGTGGAAGGAAGAGGTGGTTCCTTTCTGTGTAATCCCACTGAGGGACAGTGTTTGCTTGTGCCCCTGAGCATGTTTCTTAGACTCTCCGAGCCTCGGTTTGCACATCCCAAGGTGAGAATAGGAATACCACGAGCCTTCTGATTAGAGAAAAGGCCATGAACGCGGTCTTCCAGCTGACCTGCAGTCAGAGAAACACGCTTGTGGGCCAAGGTGCCAGGCCTGGTGACCTGATTGCTTGGTCTGCTCATAGCTCGTTCTGCAAAGCAGTCCTGTGTCCCAGGTGGTTCTAGTGGAGTCGCAGGAGCCCCTTTCATGCCAGTCCCTCTAGGGATTTGTGGCTAGGAGCAGAGAAGACCTTCCCGCCACCCCCCGCCCCAGAAAATAAAAGTATAAAAAAAATGTTGTTTTAACTACATTAGAACCTGATACTTACCATGTATTTCTCATTGCGACGCGTCAATGGAGCATTTAAAATTAAAATGACCTTGCTCTCTTTTGGTTTAATGTGCTTATCAACCAAAAATATTCAATTAATAGAGTCATTTTGGGTAAGTTAGACTTACTTCACCATTAAAGGAATTTTATGGAGAGATAGGACACGATTATCTTTAATTATATGTAACCATCATTTCATCTAAAACACTGTGGACGTATTTCAAGAATAATTAACAATTCAAGTTATGTGTAGATAAAACTTAAAATACCATTTCCTTTCGGACACCCTCCCAGCATGAGTCCACTTTGTTCTAAAGGAGAGGGTTGATCTTCCATGATCCCACTCAAAAAAAGTAACATTGAGCATTTTTTTAACATGTGCTTTTTTGCGTGTTTCTTTGGGTTAAGAGAAAATGCCAGGAGGCGACAGTGTCAGCCTGGCTGGTGGCCTGGCGCATTGGCCTTGCGTTTGGAGGGCAGCAGAGGGACACGGGGCCTGCTAATGTTTGTTACTCTGACTGTCAGTGAGGATGTGGGCGGGGGCAGACGGTCAGCTGGAAGACGGAGTTCGTGGCCTTTTCTCTAATCGGAAGGCTCATGGTATTCCTATGCTCATCTCGGGATGTGCAAACCGAGGCTCGGAGAGTTTAAGAAACACGCTCAGATGGACTCCGTTACATGACGGAGCTGCCTCGTACCCCTGCTCTGTCCCGCCCGAGACCCGTGCTCCTTTCTGTACACGCGTGTTCTCAGGCTCTGAGCATGGAGCACTGGAACATCTAAAAATTAGGCCGAGGCCTACTTGAGAGAGGTCGTTTTGGTGTCTTTGATGGAGAAGCAATGAGAAAGGAAGTGTTAAATGTGAGGGACTTGGTTGTTAATGCCGTCTACATATGCCTGAGAACTTGTATCTGCTCGGCAAGACGAATCCACTTTAGCGATGGCCCGTGTAGCCCCTCTGATTCCTGGTCTCCCTTGGGGTAACTCCACAGCCGCCAGGGATCGGGGGCTGCCTCCCGATTTCAGGGCTGTGCCAACACCACAAACCAGGGCCTCAGCGGCACACGATTTGAGAGTTTATTGCAAAAGTTGCTCCTTCCCTGGACTCAGTCCTGCTGGGATTGCCTGCCTCGTTCTTGGTCCCTTGTCATTGGCATGAAGACCACAACGTTAGGGGTTCTAGCCCTTCTTGTCACTGGCGGTCAGGCGTGCAGTAAGCGATGGAGGAAATCAGAGGGATCCAGAGGGCGGTGACAGCTGCTGAGGGGATGGGACATCTCGCTGGGTCTCGGGGCCAGTGCCTCACACAGACAGGAGAGCAAGGGGACCCCGGGGCCCGGCCCCGCCCCTGCGGACGGCCTGATCAGCACGGAGGTTTTGTAAACACACAAACAGTAGTTGTTATTGTAAAAAGATTTAGAAAAACGGGGAAACCAAGATGATGATTTCTCCATCTCCTGTTAATATATTAGGGTTTATTCTTTCAGAATTTTTATCTGTCTGTGTGCATAGGACAGTGGTCGGCAAACCGCGGCTCTCGAGCCACATGCAGCTCTTTGGCCCCTTGAGTGTGGCTCTTCCACAAAACACCACGTGCGGGCGCGCACGTACAGTGCGAAGTTGACTTAAAACTTTGAGTAAAGTTTATTAAGTTAATTTTAGGGAACGTTGTGGAGTGAAAGAAGATGTAGTGTCGAGGATTAAGAAAGGTATGTTGAGATGGTTTGGACATATAGAGAGGATGAACGAAAGGAGATAGACGAAACAAGTACACAAGACGAGTGTGGATGGGAGAGTTGGAAGGGGTCG